ACTCCCGCATATTGGAAAACAGTCTTTGCTTATGTAGTTTGGCAGGGAGTATGAAGTAATAAAAAGATCTGAGATTTTACTAAGGGTCCTCTGCAATCTTATACGTAATATAAAAACAGTATCATACACGAGAATCATACATGACCTCTTTCAAAGCATTTCTACCTTCATTATTTAAGATGGCCTTCAAAATAATCATATGAGAAAGTGAACAAAATAGGAGCCTGATTTATATACAAAATCACTGAAGCACAAATATTAATTAATTGATTCAGAGCTGCAAAGCTAGTCAATAACTGAGCAAGGCCTAAGGCTGAGATTTCTTTTGTTATGGTCAATTGCTCTTTACAACTTCCTAAATATAGTAAATATATTTTTTTGAATTATTATGCTCAAAAACATTATTATCATATTTATATATTTTTTAACAGATTATAACAAAATTTTTAAATCGATATCTGCATAATTTAATGTTATAAGCATATTTTTTTCTCTGAGGATGGGTAAAACTTACATCTTTTGAGATTGTTAATATCTTTTTAAATTTTTTTAAATTATTTATTTCTTTAATTTATTTATTTAAATTTGCCAAGGGCATATGTGCTCATCAGAAAGAGAGAGAGAGAAAGAGAGAGAAAGTGAGAAAGCAAGTCACCAGGTCCAGGACTCAAACCATGGCCGACCACTTAAAATAGCAGTTTATCAACTGCAGCTATTTTTGGGTAGGTAATATTAAGCTTAAAACTGGCCTAAAAAAAGCAAATAGTATGACTAAAAATTCTGGCAAGGTCAATTTTTATCTTTAATAACTTTAAGTGACAAAGGTCTGCTGCCTTAATTTTCATAGTAATATGAAATAAACACACTCTGAGCTTAATTTTGCTTTTCATTTCAGAAATCAATTTTCATTTCAAAGTCAGGAGCCATTTATTTTTGTTCTAAAATACATGTTACCATGGTAACTGCCAAATTGTAGGCTTTCTATAACAATATTGATGAGAGAATCTTATAAGTGATTTGAAGAAAATTAGGAGTTGAAGTCTGCTCTTTGATTTTATTGTCTAGAAAGACCTGTTACAGATGGGTAAGTATCAACAGCCCCTTAAGTCATCTCTCCGATGCTTTAACAAATTTAGAAGTTCTAGTTAAGAATCAGGCTGATTTACAATCTATATCTTTTATTTCCTCTCATGAAAATTCCCCATCACCTTTACCCTTCCAAGAAAAAAAAAAAAATACCAGCTGTGATGTTTTCAGTGCTCAGTTACTTATTCAGCACACTCTTCCGTGTTCCTGATAAGGCAGCATGAAGGTATAGAGGACATTTTTTCTAGTAGTAAGACAGGTATGACCCTGCATTTTACTTAGGATTTCACTGATCTATAACTTTGTATGTATAGACTTCATAGAGGGAGTGACCTACAGGAAATCAGGATGGAAATTACAATAAACTGGAGTCTGGCATCTGGACTCAAGTTATAACTCAACAAAGTTCCAAAGTCTGTGATGTGGAGGGGTCCTCTGAGATTCATTTCTGTAGCCTTTAATACAGATAATTTAGGTATATCATCTTGAAGATTTCTTCCAGTTCTAAGTCTGCGATGCTCTGGTAAAATGCTTCCTTTGATAATTCTTTAGGTAATGGATTTACTAACTACACTGATTTCCCTGGAGCAACTTCAAATACAGTTACATCCTTTCTTGGAAGCTGTTTCCCCTAAAATGCAGCTACTGGAGATTTGAGTTATTTTTACACAAAGAGGAGTACAGAAGTCTAGAGAGGGAAGAAAATTTTGAGATTATTATTTCAATTAGTCATATATCCAGCCTGTTCTGCGCAGGATGACAAAAGGCCGTATTAGTGCAGCTGTTTCTTAGGAAAGGAGACTGGACAGTGTCCCTCTCCTGCATCATGGTCCCTGTTCTTCCCTCTATCTACCATGTGCAGGCTTAGTATGACCTTGAGCTGTGTAGCTATGAAATAGGGAGTTTGTTCCTCCACATTTAATCATCCAGAGTTCCAGCACAAGCTGTAGAAAGTAAAAACATACATTCACTTACTATCTATGCATTTTTTTTTATTTTTTTGGAGAAGTTTTTGTTTTAGGGCACGTGTGCTCGCCAGACAGACAGAGAGAGACAGAAAGACAGAAAGCGAGAAATCACTCCCCAGGGGGGATGGCCACACCGCAATCCCTTCTACTCCATTCTCCTCTCGGGATCTTGGGCACACATGCACATGTGCCCAGCGTGAGTTTTAAGCCACAGGGTCTGGGACACGAACCATGGTTGACTATGTGGGAGTCCAGCGACATAGCCATTACGCTAACTTCTGGCCCCTATCTATGCATATTATTTAGAACTGTGTTAACTCCCTCCTCCCACCAGATGCACATTTTTAAATCCTTTCCCCTAATATCTCAGAATATGATCTTATTTAGAAATAAGGTTATTGTAGAATAATTAGTTAAGATGTTTTCTTTTAAAAAAATGGAAATTTGGATGATTAAACAGGCAGATCATCCCATGAAGAGTGGAGCTACTCTGTCACAATCGTGGAAACTACCAGAATCAAGAAGACTTGAATAGATTCTTCCCTAGTGTCTTCAGAGAGAGCATGGCCCTCACAACACCTTGATTTTGATTTCTGGCCTTCAGAACTATGAGTCGATAATTTTTTTTTTTGTTTTTCTAAACCACATAGTTAATAGTATTTTGTTACGGCAATCCTAGGAAATAAACACAAGCTTTAACATAGGTCTATGGTCTGAGGACTCAGGGTAAATTTCTTTAAAGAATCATTACAGAAAATATATTAGTACCATCATTGACTTATAGATTTTCTTTGCCTATACCTGCTAGTTGGGTTAGCACACTGGCCATATTTTACTATTGGTATGCAGCATCTGGTTTCAATTAGTTGGCTTTGTCCCTCATTAGTTATGTGATTAAACTTTTTTTTAAAGAATTGCTTTTTTCAACTTTATTTATTATTATTATTCTTTTCCAATTTGACCAGAGAGAGACAGAGAGAGGGGGAAAGTGAGAAAGGAAACCACCAGGTCTGGGACTTGAACCATGATTGACCATGTAGGAGTCTAGCATCTTGAACCACCATGCCACCTGCCAGCCCCATGTGATTAACGTTATTGATCTTCAGTCTCCTGATTTTATTAATATTTTGTCTAGAGAACCTTAGGCTTATTTGTGAGGATTAAAGGAAATAACATAAATGGGAAATAATATAGAGATTTTGGGAAAAAATTTAAAGTATAGAGATTAAGATCTGGATTTTCAGAGCTACAGGAGTTCAAATTCTACACCTCAGTTTACTATTTTTATGACTTAGTTCTATAATTTTGAAATGAGATTTATAATAGTTCCTTTGTATTAACTTTGTTGTGACTATCAAATGACTCAATGTACAAAGAAATCATAGAAAATTGTCTGGCACATAAGAATACTAAATAAATTATATGTAATAAAAGCTAGTAAATAGCTTTTGTGTGTTTACATGTCAATATTGATTATAAATCAATAATCCTGACTTTCTAGCTCACTGTTCAACCTGCACCTCAGTATCATGTATTTCAATACCCAAGAACTGAACAAGGATGATCACAGGAAGAAAATTTTGTCAAGCAGATCACTGTTATCCAGTGAATTAGAAGAACCTTAGAATTAGAGAGTATTTCTGGTAGTTGTTATTCTTGCCCTTCCCTTGTGTGAGAATTTTTTAGAGCAAAGTTTTTGTTGTATGTGATAGTAATCAAGCTACTATTATAACAAAAATCAAAGGACTCAAGCAGATTTTACTTGGGAATGCATGAATGGGAATTGGTAAATTAAACTGCTTTGAAAGATTTCTAATTAGGTTTTATCCTCATTCTTTTTTTTTTATCTTTTTTTTTTTTTTGAGAGGTTTTTGCTATAGGGCACGTGCACTCGCCAGACAGACAGAGAGAGACAGAGAGACAGAAAGCGAGAAATCACCCCCCGGGGGGATGGCCATTCCGCAATCCCTTCTCCTCCATTCTCCTCTCGGGATCTTGGGCACGCACGCACACACACCCGGCGTGAGTTTTAAGCCACCGGGTCCAGGATGCAAACCACAGTCGACTACATGGGAGTCCAGTGACATAGCCATTACGCTAACTGCCGGTTCCTCCTCATTCTTGATAAAGTCCGTGCACATGTGAGACTGGGAAAAAAGAGAGAGAAGCCCTCTCCTCAGCATCTGGTCAAGCTTCATCCCCCTCCTCCAGTCCTCCACCCTGACAGATCCTGGGCATTCACATGTGTGCCCAATGTGTTTCAGTTTGACCATACTTAGGGATTTAAGCCATTCTCTCTAGGTGGGATTTGGCTTCTCTTGAGCGATGCGTTACCTCTGCACCACAGAACTAGACTTCTAATCAAGGTTTTGTTTGCATATATTTAAATTAAGGTACATTGTCTATATATCACTCTTTTTGTTGACAGTAAAAAAAATAGCCAGTCATTTTCTCACATTGTATACCTCAACATGAGTCTTTGGATCAAATAAAAGATTAGAAAACACCATTTGACCAGCAGATGGCAAATGATTTCATCACTGGACTCCCACAGTAGACGACTGAAGTTTAAGTTCCAGGTCTGGTGACTTACAACTCACCGGGGCTTGTGAGCATGCATGCCCAAAATACCAAGAGGAGAATAGAGGAGAAGGGATTACAACATGGCTGTCCTCCCTAAGGGGTGATTTCTCGCTTTCTGTCTCTCTGTCTCTCTCTGCCTCTGCGGCAAGCACATGTACCCTATTGCAAAAATCTCTTGAAAGAACAAAAACAAATAGCCAAAAAACAAAACAAAACATTGTTTTGTGTGCCTCTCACCTTGTAGAGGAGAAAGAGGTTTTTTAGTAAAATACCTTCTATTAGTCTACTCAAAGGAAGTAGAAAACTGTTGAGACTTGAGAAACGAATTATAGTGTCATGTGTATTCCATTTCATACAACTTACCCAGGAAGTATATATCTGGAAGACAGATTGTCTCAATGCTGTGGATAAGTTATAGTCTTCAGAACTGTGATGTGTTTGGTGTCCGGCCCACATAATATTAACCTCTGTAAAACACATAATTTGAAATGAGCCATAAGAATAAGAACAAAGCAACTTCCGTTTTCAGTTATGCATACCACTCTGTTGACTGAGGAAGAGAAATCTGGAACATCTCACAAAAAGCTAGCCAAAATAATTATAATAAAAATAAGCCACCTTAAATCACTTTTGGAATCAGAGAGTATATAAATTATAAACAAATAAAAAGTTGAAATAGCCAATAAATATGTACAGTGTGTGTGATGTAATTAAATGCCTCCAGTGAACTGCAGAGACTTCCAAAATTTACACTTGCTAACATATTATAATATGACAGATCATAAAAGCTAACTGGTAATGTTTTAACAGTACAGACAATAGTTAGTGATGATTTTTCAGTTTGTGACAACACATTTCTAATTAAAGAAGAATTCTCTGATGAGAGATACTGGTACTTAAATTTTGATATGCGATATTACATAGCATTATTTCTTGATGGCTTTTTGAAAAGTTTCAAAATCTGTCTGTTGGAATAAGAAGCAAAGAACAGTAATAATTTGTCTTATGATTTAATATTTCATCTTTATTTACAGAAATATATAAGCTCAGAGTTACATATGGCTCTTCCCAGACATTACCAAAATACCATTTCTGAATTTTTCTCACATAGTTACTATATATCCTCAAAATAAAGAAGGTAGCGACTGCTGTTTATTTTGATCAAACATTATACACATCGCCCTGGTTTGCCATTCGTACACACACGAAACTAGAGGGCCTTGTTTTTCTACAACAAATATTACACTTAGATGACCCTCTAAGTAGATGGAACAGAGAATATAAGCCACTTTTTATTCTGCCCACATTTTTTACTCTGTCAATATTTCTCATTTCCTAATAGAATGACAGATCAAGCTGCCACAATGTATTTTATTCAGTGAGAAAATAACATGAGCAGGGACCAGCAGTTAGTGTAATGGCTATGTCGCTGGACTCCCACGTAGTCTACCATGGTTCGCCTCCCGGACCTGGTGGGTTAAAACTCACGCAGGGCGCGTGTGCATGCGTGCCCAAGATCCTGAGAGGAAAATGGAGGAGAAGGGATTGCAGCGTGGCCATCCCCCCTGGAGGGTGATTTCTCACTTTCTGTCTCTCTGTCTCTCTCTGTCTGGCGAGCGCATGTGCCCTATAGTAAAAACCTCTCCAAAAAAAAAAGAAAAGAAAATAATATGAGCTTAGCTACTAACTTATGTTTAGTCTTCCTCTACAAATCCAGAATATGAAATAAACCATGTAATAAGATCACCATGTCCTTGCACATAGAGATTAGAAATCTGATCTTTTAGGCTTGGCTGTATAAGAACTGAATACTGGGCCTAAAATGGGAATAGCAGGTTACTGGTCTCTGCAGTTGCCATAGACAAATATTGTAAGTACGCGATATGAGGAAGAATAGTGGGCTAGAGGTTTTTATGAACACAGCGGAATACTACTCTGTCACAGAGAACAACAGTATCCTGACCTTTGACACAAAGTGTTGATAAAAGACTAATATCATACATCTCTGCTTAAAATATACCAAATGTCCACACTCTGTAGAAGAAGCAGGACTCCATGGCATAGAAGTACAGGGTAATGGTAGATGGTATCTGCATGGGGAGAGGGGTGGCATTAGGGAGGTTGGGTATAAATGATTGACAGACACAAAAATGCATGCATAAAGATGGAATAGGTTATGAAATCTTGTACCACAGTAGAGTAAAAACTATGGTTGAAAATTCAGTATGTGTTTCCTTTCCCCCAAAGATACTAGTAGAATTATGGTCAAATGTGCATAACAAAATATATTGTTAATGTCAAATAAGATGAACATGTCTATATCATTTATTTGATTATTATACACTGTATGCATGCTTTGAAAACCATACTATATTTCACAAAGATATACAATGATTATATGTAAATCAGAAATCACTATACTTTTTTTTTTAAAGGATTTTGCTGTAGGACACATTTACTCATGGAGAGAGAGACAGAGAGGGAAAGTGAGAAATCACCCCCTGGGGTAATGGTCTCACTGCAAATCCTTCTCCTCCTGTCTCCTCTCGTGATTTTGGGCATGCACATACATGCACCTGGCATGATTTTCAAGCCATTGGGTTCGGGACTTGAACCATGGTCGGCTGTGTGGGAGTTCAACACCTTAACCATTACACCACCTTCTGGTGGCCCTGATCACTATATATTTTTTTAAAAGAAGAAATTACAACTGTAAAAACAAAAAACATAAACTTAAAAAAAATCATTGGAGATACACATACATGCCTGTATTTAATATATGTGAACTTTTCATTAATTTATTAGGAAATGAAAGCTCTCTGCACAAGCTGTGTAGAGAGCTATCAAGATAAATTTACAAAACAAAGGGGTCTTAGAAGACAAATGATAGGTTATAGATAAAAGAGAGATTTAATTCTGTGACAATGAGAAGATTATGAACAATATTCTGAATATATAGCCATATCAGATGTCATTTGCATTAAAGGCATTGCTATTTCTAAATAAATGTCATTTCTATTACATGTGACCAGTCTCTTATGTTTTTAAAACTGTTTACCTCTGGAGTCTTTTAAGTAATTGAAACACCATTTTCCTTCCAGAACCTACGAGTATTGAACATATCAGAACTTACTACTTACAGACCTTCATTCTAAATCAACATATTTTCTATTTTATTGGATCTTTCCAGATTTATTTTGAAAAAAAAATTATCCTAGTATACCAACAAAATGAGTTCACAAGGGGATGAGCTAATCAGATGAGGTTTAATGGAAGGGTAATAATATATGTTGTAGCTACTTCCTTCTAATCTCCACAGAAGCTAAATGGTGGAACAAAGAATCCACAAAAGAGGAAGTTAAAGACCTGTCTCTTCAGTTGTTTTAAAAGCATTTACTTCCTATCACAAACTGTGTGTAACACAAGCCTTCGTTCAATGAAGTGCAGCTGTGTAAACAGCGTACAGTAACAGAATCCGACTACCTTCCCTCAGCCACTTTTCAGAATTGAGGAAAACTAAGAAATGCACGACTGTTTTGTCACGGTCTATATTCAGCTTAAGGGAAGTCAACTATTTTCAAAAGTGATTATAAAAATGCATTTTACACAAAAATGCATTTTATACTAAGTTGTCCTAATAGTTCTTCTGTGGAAGAAATGAGAAAAGGTCAATAGTGCATCTGTATGTTCATCTTACTTAATACTTGACTTGATGAGTTGTCCATTCTGAGAAATGAGAACAAATAGCAAGGAGGATAAAAAGGGACATGATTCAGAATAAGCGTCTTTCTCTGAAAATTAATTATAGATTCTGTTTAATAATATATTTTTCTTTCTCTATTAGCAAATTATAGGTTATATGTTCATAAGGCATATTACTGTAGCTTTTCAAGGATTCAATTAGAAATAATTATGCTGCTTTCCAGAGCCAAAATGTAGATATATATAAATATATTTTATGAATGTATTGGCCAATAATTCCATTCATTTGGCCAAAATTCAATGTAATATGAATTAATATGAGTGTATGTGTGTGTCATATTCTTGAGTTTAATTTTTTTCAAATTTTTAAATGAAGTTATATGTTATGTTCAGAAAAATCAATCCTTTTTAAAAGTTCATAACTTTTTTGGCATTTTTAAGTTTTAAACAAAGAAATACACTTTGGGATCAGCATATGGCATAACAGTTATGTCACTGGACTCCCCACATAGTCAACTGTGCTTCAAGTCCCAGACCTGGTGACTTAAGGATCTGGTGACTTAAAACTCACAGTGTGTGTGTGTGTGTGTGTGTGTGTGTGTGTGCACACAAGAGGAGAATGGAAGAGAAAGGATTGTGGCATGACCATCCCCCTGGTAGGTGATTTCTTATTTTCTGTCTCTCTGTCTCTGTCTTTCCTGGGAGCACATGTGCCCTATAGCAAAATCATTAAAAAAATACAATTTATTTTTAAATGATTATAGTTCATGTATAATCATTACCACAATCAAGATACAAAACAGTTTCATCATCCTCAAAATTCCCCCAGCCTCACCATGGTTGTGGTAGACAGACAAACAGGACTCCCTGGTTGGGACTTTGGACTGATAATGCAATGGAATGAAACTTTTGGGACCTTGAGAAAGGTTGAGTATGACCCCACACAAACTGAATTCTGCTAACAACTAGATAAGTGACGCACATCCCAGTTGAGCTTTCAGGTGACCCTGCAACCTGCAAACAGTTGTCCTGATTAACTGCAACCTTTCAAAAGACAGAAAAGCACTCATCTAAGTCAGACCCTGTTTTTTGATCCATAGAAACTATGAGATAACAAATGTTTTCTGTTTCAAGCTGCTAATTTGTTTACAGTCAGACAAGAGAAAGAAGTGGAGAGAATCCATATTGAAACGGAGGAAATCAGATTATCCCTGTTTGCAGTTGACATGATCTCAGGTGAGCAGAAAAATATATGGGAAAATGGAATTAAAATATAAGTTGATTTTGGTGCAACAACAAAAAAAATCGACGCAATCCCTTGAACTTTTTGAAAAAACTCTCCGATGTAGAAAACCTTAAAGACTTCACCAAAAAGCTATTAGAACTAGTAAAGGAACTCGGTAAAGTCACATGATATGAAATCAACATATGAAAATCAGTAGCATTTCTTTCTTTTTTAAAAAAATGTTTTTATCATAGGGTGCGTGTGCTCCCCAGAGAGAGACAGTGAAGAGAAATTTGATAAATCATACCCCAGAGGAGATGGCCACACCACAATCTCTCCTCCTCCATTCTCCTCCTTGGATTTTGGTCATGGACACACGTGACTTGGTGTAAAATTTTAAATTGCCATGTCTGGGAGTAGAACTGCGGTTGCCATGTGGGAGTCCACTGCCTTAACTACCATACCATTTGCTGGTCCCTCAACAGCATTTCTATATGTCAATAAAAACTAATAAAAAAAATCAGAAAATCAATTCCATTT